ATGAATGTGAATGATGGTTTTGAGCAAGTTTGGAAAATACTTTCAGCGTGCAATCACTAATTTTTTTAGAACGCTATGTAATAATGTCTGGACCGGTACTTCTCCTGTAAGACTGTGTGCAATGAGTATATGGAAATGCTCCCCATGATAAAGAGAAAACTGTCTGATCCAGCGAGGTTTCTTAAGGATGCAAGGGAAGGCTTCAGGCAGGACAGTTCAGTAGTTACTGTTCTTTTATTTGGCATCTTTGCACGATTTTCCTGAGATGAGAACCTCAAGTGCTGTGGCTTTGATGGCAAAAATTAATTTCCTAGCTTGCAGAAAGGAGTCATTGGTGCCAAAAACCCCAAGTGACCTGTTACACCTTTGCAGCTGATGCAGGCTGCCATTTTCCATGAGAGCAAAATGGTGTTGGCGTGTGAAACTGCACAATTCAATCCTTTCATATGGTGACCTCATACAAAAGAGTAAGCTGTCATTATAGGAAGAAAAATTGCTGCGGAAGAATGAATCCTGTGTTTAATAGAATGTGCTCTTTTAAAGAAATGTTCTCTGCTGACTATTTTAAAACGCGTCTCTTTTCCTATATCCCCTGCCTGTTCCTCCTTGGCACCCAGGACCAGCTACTCTGGCTCTGTGCACAATCTCACCATTGTTGGTGTAAGAGCACTCTCCTAAGGAGAAAATGCCATCTGAAAGGGCAGCCTTGTGCTCTTCTGCCTGATCAACTTTTCATTTGCGTTCAAATATCTGATCAAAACTTCTTCCCTCCTGTCCTTTTGCCTTTTAGTTGCATTCTTCACTGTCACTAATGAATGAATAATTTATATAATGAATTACTGAAGTATTCTGAGATTCTGAATTTCAGAATTATGATGCCTAATTGTAATGGCTGTCTGGTAATTTTTACAACCTTTAGCCTTCTGCCTCCCTCTGTCCCCTTTCACATATGTGAGACCTTCAGTGAGGATTGGTCACTGCTCAACAGGAGATGAAAAATCCACCTATCAAACATTATCAAAAGCAGTCCAATCCATTCTAATGTCTGCTGGACCACCTAAGCACCAAGCACCGGGAATAAAGGTAGAGAATGAAAAGTGCTACTGACGGCAGACGTAGTGCCTGCCTTGCAGCCAGCAATGCTTAAGGAAGCTCAGAAGTAGCACTTGTGGAAAACTTTCAGCTAAGAGAAGCAGTTACAATCAGACTTCTAAACAAAGACTAGCACTGCACAGTTCTGAGCAGCATAAAAGCAGCAGCTTTTATGTTCGGGGTTGGAAGGGGAAAAATAAAAATTCTACCAGAAATGTAAAACAACTCATTCCAGCATTTGTTTTTGTGATAAGGTAAATGACTTCTGACACCTTAGTAGCCAGCCAGAAACATCTTCACATAAACAGTTACCAACTTTGTTTGAAAGTCCTTTAAATTAGAGAAGGGCATTTGCAGACATCATTGGTCTGAAAGAATTGCTACATAAAAGACTTAGCAGGGCATTTAAGGTCATGTAGCAACACACGTACATGGAAAGTGATATCATCAAATTCAGAAGTACACCTGCGATCAACACGTGGTTTAGAAATAACACCTACCATAAAGAACATGGTCATGAAAGTATAAAGGTCTCTCATTTCCCTAGCCGTATTTCAAATGTTTTTGAACTTCTTTTTCGCAGTTGTCTTCTATAAAGTATTTCCACTTTTTTTGGAGGCGATAGAGGCAGCAAGGCCTAGTGTTCCACACTTCAGCCACAGAAATCAAAATATTTTAGAAGACAAAAATGTAATGGTAAAAGCATGAAAGGTGTTAGGAATCTGAGAAATGCACATAATCACAGCTGCTGTTTCCAACTTATATCTAAATTTTAGTTGACACTGTTCTAGTCAAAAGGAATATAAAGCCCTCAGCTGACCACGTACACGAGGCGAAATTTTACACAAATTGCACTGAACTCTTAGGAGAGTAGGACAAGTTTACCACTATACAAAAAACAAAACTGGAAGATTGAGGGAATGGTCAGGTGCAGAGGACAGATCATCAGTCACCTTTTTGATAGGCAATACAGTATAAATCATGCTTAAAAAATCAAAAATAGTATTTCAAGACAGTTATTTCCAGAAACTCTGTATAAAATAGCTATTAATTGCAGCGTGACAATTTGATGCTCATTAGTGATAAAGGCAAATGAACACTATATTTTTTCTATCAGATAACTCCAGAGCTGAAACTTTAACAACTGCATTACATTTCAAACTCAATGCAACCAGTAAATAAGTTGCTGCATAATAATACTTATTCTCTGTGTGTGTGTATGTTCAAGTGCATGTTACACATAAACACTTAATAAACTATACAGCTAATTCAATTTGCTTTTTCCTCAGTGCCTGTCAGGCATACGAAATACCAGCAGTTTTCTTAACTTACACATTCCTATGTTTGTTCTGTCTCCAGGGTCTTTCAGACCACCAGGACAGTTTTCCTTCTTTAGTCCAAGCCATTTGCTGTGTTGAAGGTAGGCGTTTGGTAAAAGAGTACAGTTTTCTGTGCTTCAAAAGAATTGGAATTTTTTGGCTTTGTGATGTCAAACTTATATCTGGACTTCCAAAATTCATAACCACTAATTTGACAAGGAGTTGCAAGAAAAATAAAAATTAGGATGTGTCCTGGTGTTTCTTTTCCCTGCAACCCCTGTGTCTGAGCTAGCACGTTTCCCTGTGACTGCGTGCGGCTGGAGCAGTGCCTTGCTTTCCATGAAGGAATGGGATACTAAAGGTGGTTGTTCTCCTCCAGGAGAGCTGGCCACAATACACAACTGCAACACAAATACTCCCCAGAAAGATGAACTTTGGTATCAGTTCCTATTATTTAGGTATTTCTTCAACTCATAATTCAGACACATCCTTAACAGTTAACATGTGAGTTGTCCCAGATCGGTTTAATGGCACCACTGAAGTTCTTCTGGCTGGTCTGCTGTGATAACCTCTTAATGACAGGATTTTGAACTTCTCACACAAAAGTTTCCTAAAGAAATTCTTATTCAGTGCAGACCACAAGCAGAACAGATTCTAAGCACACTACGGATCCCTTTGTGTAGATCCTGATTCCAATAAACAAACACAGAACCTGTCTAAGTGCTCTGCTGAATCATCCCGTAAACACAACATACCTATTCATTACATACTGTAGGATGGTAAATAGATAGATAAAGATAAAATAGTTTGCTAATGTTGGATGCTTCAGTCTAAAAACCTTCACAAAGCATTAGATAAGTGCACATTTGCACTTATTATTATACATATTGCGCTTATAAGTCTCATTATTTGCTGCCTTAGAAATATCCAGTACCAGAAGTTTGAAAGCATATTTTAATGTGGACTGTTTAAAAAAAAAAATGTATTTTGGCTTGTTTCCAAAGACAGTTTACATATTATGGAGTGAGGAATATATCAAAGCCCTGAATAATAAAAAAAGAAGGGGGGAAATTCTCATTTTATCAGTTATCCTTTTTCAGAGGAGAAGCTCCGAGAGGTGCCTAGTGCTCTACTGTTTTATATACTTACTTTCACCCTTCCAGCTCGTGAGCCTGAAGCTTATGAAAGCTGCTGTCCTAGCGGGATGGGTTAGATCAACAACAATCTGTCTTCTTTTTCCCTAAATGGTTAGCAACGAAAATCAAACCATCTTCTTCCATCAAATGTGATAGCTACCTAAGGGCTCTCAATCTATGGCTAACAGGAGGAAGCACAGATTGTACAATGAATAAATTGCCCTAATCATTTAACTGCCTTTCTCAGAGATTAATCAATTCTTTTACTGAAAAACTAATTTGTGAATAAGGATGAGAAGAGACTGTGGGGAGACTGTGCAGTTAAAATTTCCAGCAATACCTGCAACAGAGTTCTCTTTCCCAGTGCAGAACTGTTCTTCATTTTAACATTCATGTAAATATTTTTTTATTATTATTTCTGAGATGCTTGGGATGATGTATGCTACCAGTGCAGTTCTGCCACAGCCAGCAAACCACACACTTACTCACTCGGGAATTTCCTCAGCATGCAAAAGCCTAGAAGGGAAAGCTGCTATCGCTGGGGAGACCCACGGAGCGGCGTGTGCCGAGGGCGAGGATAATGAAGCACCAGCCAGCCAACATCGCTGCACAGCTCTGACAAATAAGCAATAGCACATCCTGATCTCAGTTTACCTTTACATGCCAGGCTAAAAGATGCCAGCACAGGCACAGATTTATGTGCACACCACATGTCCCTGATTAGCAGTATCTCTGAGAGGGCCAGGGGAGGCAGCTGGGGCTGGTAACAGCTTCACTCATTCAATTTTAATTGACTCCTGTGTGTTTGTCAGATCCCTCAGAGATGCCTGCCTTCTGTTTTAACTTGTGCCAAAAGCTGAACTGGTCCCATTAACCACAGGGAACAGGCAAGCAAGAAGCACCGATCAGCTACAGGTACAGAACAAAGACTATATTGCTCTTTGAATTACATTTTAGATACAATCTGCACTGAATTTCAAGATCATAGACCAACAATCACAGTTCAACCTGCAAATCCAGCGAACTTAAACTCTATTCACACAATTATACATTAAAGCAGGCTTCAATATAGAATCCTCTTGCTTAATTTTCTGTTTGCATTTAGGGTCTAAACTTCTCTCTTTGAAAATCCTAAGGAAATGCCCATATGCTCCAGTGCAATCAAGACTATACCACCAGGTGTTTTCTGAACAACTACTGATACACTGTTTAAATGGTTTACAATCAGTCAAAGTATTCAAAACCCAACCAAAAAAAAAAAAGTGACAATAATATTTTTTCTGCATTTTTTACTTTCTCTAATTGTAACGAATGACGCAAGTGAAAGCTTGAGTAAAATGGGTCCAGACATATACACCATTTCTTTTGTAACTCTTTTTAAAGTACATACAAACAAGTGGTGGTGACAAGTGTCAGACAGCATCACCATTGAAAAAAGGATTTTCAATCTTACCTCTGCTTTTATTTTATTGTCTCCGAAACAGAGGTGTTGTAAGTAGGCTGCAGCATTGGACTGTACTGAGGGAAATTGATGCTGTAACATCTGTATAACTTCTGGAAGCTCTGGATCTCGCCATCCAAACTCTCTGTGTGAAAAGAAATAAAAAAGATTGATCAAAAATTCTGCTATTAGCGGATAAACGTGGCAACAGTTTTTCATTTTAAATTGTACTTCTCTGCAAAAGAAAAAAAAAAGGGTAATATAAAGCATAATTAAATAACTTAATGGAATTAGCTCTCTAACTGCTAAAGTTTCCTAAATAAAAATGACTATATGAAATCTTAATATAAGAAAAGAAAGAAGATACATGCTCGTATTATTATATATTCTCTATTAAAATTAAAATATGGAAGGGAGAATCAGAACCACACACGGCTTGGTATGAAATACTAGTTTGTGAAAAAGTCCTTTTTACTTTCTGCAATCTTTATTTGATATAAATTACCATCTTATATAGAAAGCAATTACCTATTTTGTCTTTTGGTTTATTTTTTTCAGATATGGTCCGTACTCAATGTGAAACTATCATACAGTTCAGGCCCTGCTTGAGCAGTGGGTTGGACCAGACGACCTCCAGAGTCTCTTCCAACCTCAGCCCTTCTGTGATTCAGTAATTTTACAATTATACAATACACACTTACACATTGGATTACTTTTAGATCTTCATTCATAGTACTCAATCTAAAGCAGCTAGGCAAATACAAAGGTCTTTGCACTTTTCTTTAATCCAACAAGGCATAAAACACCATTAGCATCAAATGAAACAACTGAATCCAAGTGTGTTGAACAAATCTCAGCAGGTATTCTGTGGTTTCCAGAACTGAACTTAAACTGTCACTTCAGGTACATTTTCCCCCCTCCACGTTTAATGGCAAAATCATTCATGAAAATGGCTTTGGACTTTGCGTCCCAAGAGCCAGGCATGCACACAGCCACTCTGCAGGAGACAGCTAATTCTCACATGGCTTTTCCCTAAGAGCTAATTTTTTGTGCCATAAAAATATTTTCACCATCTTCCATCTAATGCTATATGTACAACGTAATAAAGGGAAAACAGGGGAAAGAGGTGACTTGTGAAAAATGCTGTATGTTCTCTGTAGCAGTTACCACGATCAGCTGGGAGCTCATTGCCAAAAAAAACCCCAACAAGAGCTGTTGCAGAGTCCAGCTATAACATCTGAAAAAACATTCCTGATCATTAGTTTCCTTCCCAAATTATGGGGATTCTGCTGCACTGAGGCCAAGCGTATGTAGGTCTGTGAGAAACTGGATGTGAGACCCGACAGACCCCTCCCGGACCAATGGGGCTGGGACCTGACAATGTCACTGGGAAAATTCACCTGTGTTTGAGTAATGCTTACAGTAGCTCTGCAGTCTGTCTCAGCTAAAATCAGGCATCACACTTAAAGCACACAGTTCTCCAAGACATTGAATTGAAACGAGACTCATTTTACAATAATAATGAATTACTACACAACAGAGGCAGTGTCTGTTCTCTTCTCATACAGGATGTTTGCCAGATTAAGAGCTGTCATTAAAGTTGTATCTTTATGAAGATTCAGAACATAAATGGGAGATATAAAAAAAATACACTCAGAATTTCATCGGCTATTTCTCTTCTGACAAAACAGATGTTAACTCATGAATACTGAATTTCACATTAAATGTTTAATACAAGGAAACCATGAAGATGAATTAATAAATCACATATGGACTTCTTCAATGAATCTTGAGATGATATAGACTGTTGGGAAGACCTTTTGCATATGTTCAGAAAGATCTTAACATTGAATTCATATTTGGAAAATTCAGGCAATGTTGTAAAAGATGTCAGGGAAGGCTAGAAACTTTAGCAGCTGAAGATGGCAAACACATTTTCTGTGTGTACAGGCTTACTATGACTGTGTTAACAAGTGAAAAGGAAGTGATTCTTTGGTTAAGCACTTATGTCTGTTTAAGAATGGTAGTACAAACCAGTAAACAAATCATAAATTGGCAGAGGAGACAGAAATAATGTTATTTGATGTGTTAGCTTCCTCATGCTTCTTTTCTTACCCTTGACCATATTAATACACATTCACAGGTTCTTCAAACACATTAGACCTACCTCCTATATACATGGCTCTCAGCCAACCAAAGACTTCTTCCCGAAATTATTTTTAAATAAAATAAAATAAAAAAAATAAAAAGCCCCAACCCACTAGCCTTACTGAGGACAAATTAATTATCCTAGCTCCACTTTTAATTTATTTTCATTTTCAATTCCAGATGCCGAGTGCAAGTGTTGGTATCTTGGAGAGGATAAAAAATACCAGAAGAAAACAGTTTTTATGACAAGACAACAAGGGGGAACATCTGAAATGAGTTGTTTTACACCAAGTAACTATATTTCAAAGTGCTGGAACTTCTATCACCAAATTGTCTCCCAAAGGAATTTTTCACCTTCAAAATATGTGTGTTACTTGAACAGAAAACAAATAAACAAAAAGCCCCTTATGTACAGTAGTACACCATGGAGCCTGACAACCAGCTCAGGTTCTTCTTCTTCTTGTTCTGGAATCCAGGCCAGAAGAGGCAATGAGGGGGGAAAAGGAAAAGGTTCCTTCATGAAAGGTACAGTTAATTGTTCTGATGAACCTGCAGTTTTGACATGGCATTTACATATGAAAACAAGGCTGTGCCTACTTTTCCCCTCTAATCTCCCAGAAGAAAAATTAGCGAACAAGTGATGTATGAATACTTGTTAAAAATGGTTCTGTGCACATTGGACGTAAGCAAATAATTAATTCAGAAAAGAAACCCTTAGCACTGAAAACTGAGTTTGTCATGTAACCAGTTTTAGGAGAGATAATGAACAAAGCAGGGAAAAAAGTTTAAAAATTTAGCCCCAGTATGCACTGTCATTTCAAGCAGATGGTCTCCAAGATGATTATATTTTTAGTAGTTTCTAAATGAAATACGGTAGCTATATAAAACAAACAAAAACTTCTGTCAACAGTTAAGGCTGCTTGAATAATTGTGATAATTTTAGCAGCCTTCAGGGCAAGAAGGAATAGTATCCAGGGGTTTAAATTTTTCATTTGTTTTATACAATTCTCTTACAGGTGGAAAAAAAAAGTAAGCTACAGAAAGAGAAGATTTCTTTTTTTTTTAAGAACAGCAAGCTTACAGCTCCATTAACAATATTTACTTGATTTTTTTTTTTTTTTTTCCCTAAATTATGAGAAGTTAGGAAGGCTATTTAATGAAGTCAACTGGCAGAAGTTTTGAGAAGAGAGGAGGACTGGAATTCCTTGAAGATACTGGTACAAAACTATCTGGAACATTTTGCATAGATGTGGAGGAACTTTCAGGCCATGGCTCCAAGCACACCTACATGACAAAAAATGCATACTAAAATAGCCAAACAAAAAGTAAAAGAAAAAAACTGCTAGGGAAGGAAGGTATGTTGTAGAAGTCAAGAGCTGAAATAAACTGGGTTGCACTTTGAAAAGGTAATTGATATTAGATAGCAAAATATCTTTTACTGGCCACCAACTTAAAAAGCAGCAGGGTCAGTACTTGATGAAGATAAGGGTCAGATTAAAGACAGGGAGAAGGATAATGAAAATCAAATCTACCTCAATTTCTGTGAAACATCTGATATTGTGCCATATTGAAATTAGTTAAGTGGCAACACAGGAGGATCCAATCCCTAGTAAAATTATTAAGTACAATTAAGCAAAATCTGAACTGTAGCAACTATCCTAAACAAACACTAGCTAAGCCTGTGTCCTTTATTAAAACCCCCATGCTTACAAAATCTGAGTGAGGCAATCCACACAGATGGTGAAACAAGCCAGAAGGCTGCAGTAAATCTGAGGAGGTGCGTGGCATGCAGTTTGGAGAATGCCATCAAACACTACCTGTGTAGTTGGTCCAAAAATGAAGAGGAAGCTAGCATCTGTACATTCCAGATCTTCCGCTAGTACCTCCATTTCCCTTGGAATACCAACACTAAACTATTCAGGTGGTGCAGGCATTTCCACAAGAGAATTGCAGCTGTGCAAGAACTTCACAGCTTTGGCTGGAAAGCAGCATTTGCCGCGCACTCCAAATATTTCAGCAGGTTGTAAAAGTGTTTAGGAAGTATGCTCATCTGAGGAGACTGACCAAGGCATGCCAAGGTGTTCCACCCTCTTTCTTTGATAGAAACTGGGCTCTAGGAATGTAGGATTGATCTAATTTTGAATCCCACAGAAGGTTTTAGCTTGAAATGGTGACTAAGGCAAATGTTCTACGGGTTACAGCAGGCTACTGTTCCAGGGGTGGAAAAGGACCCGAACGGGAAGGCCGAGTTATATGTAAACTGGCAATATGTACGCCCAGACTATCACAATAGACTTTTTTTATCTGTGAACAACTGAGAGAATCAACAAGGAGCTTGACATGAGACATAACAACCCTGAAACTGAGCAACAGAAGCAGTAGCACCAAGAAATCCAGGCTGACTTTGGTACAGCATTGAAACCAAGTCCTGCTCCTGCCATCACATCATATACACGTCAGAAAGTAAAGGAGATGGAGACTTAAGAGAGATTGTTAGTAACACAGCTGAGTGCACTGGCTACATGGGATCACTTAAAGGTGCTACTGAGCACGTACTGCATCTGAATATTTGCTTGAATTATGCCAGAATTTTCTTTTTCTGCTACTGCTATTGCTGATGACACACAGAAAAGCAAAACCAAAATTCCTGTTACAACTATAACTGCACTGATTTTAAAAAGGCTACAAAATAATTTTTAAAAGCATAGGTCTCCAGTCGGTAACTAAAGACACCGATTACTTCTACACAACATTGGAGAAGCAGGTGTGATGGGTCTGTCTACTCTCCATCCATTGGTCACAGTGAATCTCACGAGAGCTTGGGTTCTTATATCAGATTTACATTATTAAAGCAGATCACATCTGATCAAGCAGTTGGCACAGGCAAGCACTGACACCCAGAGCTATTCCCGTCTCAGCAGCATTCCCCGAAGGCAGCGCTGTGAAGACGCCTGCAATAAAAAACCATATGCTTGACAAAGACTGAACTACCACCAA